CCAACAAGAAATTCCATCTCACACATTTAATCCCAACCCTGGCAAAAAAGAAGCAAAGACTCCACATCCCCCATGGCCCATTCCCCCCATCCTGCAGCACCAAGGATTTGGCTGATCTGATGTCCAACCTGGATTTTGCTCCCAGAAATGGGATCTCACCACATCACCCTTTTATCAGCTGTTTTCCTGTCAAGGCACCCCTCACCATACACATTATTGACCTGGGTAATCATTACCTCTGCACCACAACCCTTATTTGCAACTTTAGAAGTAGATTTCAAAAGCAATCACGGATATCCTAAGCCCAAACAACAATCCATTGATCTCTCTAAAACAGGAATTCCCTGAAATCATGGGAAACTCCCAAACTGCTGCAGGTGCTGCATTTGGAATCCACAACCCACACAAGAGTCAAAGCAAAGGTTAAAATTTACTGAGGTTCTCAAAACCAGTTCTGGGTGCTGCTCCTGCACTCCAGCCTCTTTCAGAAAAATGGAATTTCTGGCTGTGGCTGCCACAAGGAGATGCAGCACTAGTGGTAAATTAAAAGGGGATTTGGGGAGGAAATGGGGAAGACCTGACAACTTCCAACCACATTACAAGCTCCAGAATCAGTTTGAAGACCCACATTTCTCTCCAACACTTTTTTTTTTTTTTTTTACTTATTTTATATTTAGGCCTATCTGCTTTACAAAGTTACATGGCAGAAAGGTTTTGGGGATAAGAGGTTCCAACCAGCTCCTCCATTCCATCCCGGAAAGAAGGCAGTGATACCTTGGTCAGGGGCCTCTTTCTGAGCCAAAACCCCCACCCAAACACACAGAACACTTCTGCAACATTTCTATTAAAGCTTCTAATTCATAACCTCTCCACTGACTGAAATTCTTGCTTTACTTAAAAAAAAAATACTAATTTGCCAGCAGATAGTTTAGAAACAAAGCCCTGCTCAGCCATTCTTTTAAACTATTTCAAAAAGTTACTAATATTGTTTTTAATGATAGATCTTACAGCTCCACACTCCTGATTGTTGTCCAAAGCCACAAGTACTCTGAACACTCCATCCCCGCTATTTCCAAGTATTTTACTCTGAAGTTTCACTTTTTTTTAATGCAGGCTCCATGAAAATAAAAGGGAATGGAATTCACCTTCACTTACAATTCCTGTCATGTGTCACACTCCATTATCTCCTGGTAGTCCCAGGAAACACAAGGGAATAGTAAACAAACAGGTAATGAGATTTTACTGGACTTCCACTCACTTTAAGTCAAATAATCCAAAGGCACCACAAGTGCCTGATTTGGAGATAATGCCCTGTGCTGCAAAACAGGATTATTGGTACTAAAATAAACCTTTTTTTTCAGGAACATAAAATCCCAACTGGAGTTACAAAATATTTCTCCCAATTCATTCTGACCTCTCTAGTACAGTTAAAATTCCACTAAATCAAATTCTTTCCAAATATATCTTAAAGCACAAAAAAAAGCTGAAATTATCCATTGGTGAATGGGGAAAACCCACACTTACTAAAGTTACAACGGGTGTAACACGTGGACAAATAAACAGAACTTTTTAATCAGCTGAACAGAGTTCTGGACACACTAAATATTACAAAAAGTTTGCGTCTTAATTTCATTAGACTATTCAAATTAGATATAAAGCCACTTTTCCCATTTGATTTCCTCCTTCCTTTGTGAAAATAAATTCTTAATTAGGTGTCCTCAGGACTACAGGTTGGAACAAAACACTGTCACAACATCCCTTCAAACACCTAAACTTTTTCTAAAGAGAAACAGACAAGTTTTTGCTTTGTTTACCTGGTTGTGAAGTTACTACGCATCTCAGGGGAGAGATGACAGAAAGATTCCCAAGTTTCCTATTCCCTTTGAAAAAGACTTTTAAAGCCTCCTGCTAGGAGGGTCTGGTGCTCAGCACCACAAGATAACTGGAGAAATCTGAGTTTTATCAGCACTGGCGTCAAAGAACCACCTGAAAGCACTGAGAAATGTGAACACTACCAGGACTGAACACTACTAGGAAAGTAACCCACCACACCTTTTTAAGACTACAACAATCTCAGCCAACATTACAGCGCAGACATCACTGTAACACCAGTATCATGAAATCAACATCAGTATCACCAAAATCAGCAGAAATCACTATCCTGGGTGGTTTTCCAGGTGTTCAAACCACCAGCATCCCTCTGGACACCCTGAATTATCCTCTGGGCAGCCCAAGCATCCCCTGGACACCCCAAATTAGTTATTCCCCACCCCAGACACCACAAATTGTCCTTTGGGCAGCCCAAGCATCCTCCAGACATCCTGAATTATCCTCAGACAGCCAGAGCATCCCTCCGGACACCCCAAGTTATCCCCTCCAGACATTCTGAGTTTGTTATCCTCCCCAGACACCCCAAATTATCTTCTGGGCAGCCCAAGCGTCCCACCAGGCACCCCAAGTTTGTTATTCCTCCCAGACACCCCGAATTATCCTTCAGGCAGCCCAATCACCCCTCCAGACATCCCGAATTATCCTCTGGGCAGCCAGAGCATCGCTCCAGGCACCCTGAATTATCGCTCTGGACACCCCGAGTTTGTCATCCCCTCCAGACATCCCGAATTATCCTTCAGGCAGCCCGAACATCCCTCCGGGCACCCCAAATTATTCCTCTGGACACCCCGAGTATCCATCCAGGCACTCCAAGTCCTCCCTCCAGACACCCCGAGTTTGTTATTCCCCGGGAAGCCCAAGCATCCCTCAGGGCCCCCCCAGTTTGTTATCCTCTCCAGACACCCCAAATTATCCTCTGGGCAGCCCAAGCATCCCTCTGGACACTCCGAGCATCCACCCAGGCATCCCAAGTTATCTCTCCGGACACCCCGGGCTTGTTATTCCCCGGGAAGCCCAAGCAACTCTCCGGGCACCCCGAGTTATCCTTCGGGCAGCCCGAGCATCCCTCTGGACACCCCGAGCATCCCTCCAAGTTATCCAAGTGCCCTCCAGGCACTCCAAGTTATCCCTTCAGACACCCCGAGCATCCATCCAGGCACCCCAAGTTATCCCTCCGGACACCCCAAGCTTGTTATTACCCAGGCAGCCCAAGCGAGTTATCCCCTCCGGACACCCCGAGTTATCCTCTGGACAGCCCGAGTTTGTTATCCCCTCCGGACACGCAGAAACCTCATCCCGCATCCAGAGCCAACTTGCACCGAGNGTTATTGACCAATAAAACACTGCTAACAAGGATATTTACATTTTTAACTTAAATGCATGAATCTGAAATGCAGGGAACTCTCAGAATTTTGGGCCTGGAAGCCAAAGCTTAGAATTAAACACAGGATCTGAGCTGAGACCTTGGAAAAGGCTCCCAAACTTAGGTGCTAGAAGTGAGAATGTGGATTTGTAGTTTATAGCAGAGAACGTTGAGCAAAGTAAAGGAAACTTTAGAGGTTAAGACATAGAAAAAATAAAAGTAGTTACAGAAGTAAATGAGGACCTTATAATACAATACTGTAGCTTTGTGTGTTATAACATGATTGGCTTAGAAAGCTTACACTGTAGCATGGATCCATAAGACAAAATATTTAAAGATTAAATCAAAACCATAAATATCCTTGGCATAAATATCCTATTGGCAGTGTTTTATTGGTCAACAGCTCCTTAAAAAGTCTTGTAACTAAGGATCTGGTGACCTTCTGAACCATGCAGTGAAGATGTGAGCTGAGCTCACCCTTGCTGCCCATGTGGAAGATAAGAAAAATAAACTGCATCATCAAATACAATCATTGCATTCAAATACAATTATTCAAATAGATCATCAAATACATCTCAAATTCCTTCTAAAATTCCCCACAAG